AAACACAAATGAACACTCATTCTGTATGTGAGATAAATATTAACTAGCACAAGTGAGACATTGTCAGGTTAGAAAGATTGGCAGCAGTAGAGCAATTTCGACAGATCCTCTTCGTTGAATCAAACCCGGCCGAAGTGGAAATCAAAAGGCTCGAAGTATTAACGATGGACAAGAAAATGCTGGAGCGCACTGCTCACAGCTGGTTTCAGAAGTTTTGTCATGGCGGAAGAACTCGAAGGCAAGAAAGATTCCAGACCTCGTTCACCTGCCATAGGCGAATGTTTTAGTGCTAAAGATTGACGAAGGACTACTACTGATCTCACTGCAAATTGACAGCTTCGAAGCCTTTTCAAAAAAATTCCGACATTTGAAAAAGCTCAGAAGCTCAATAAATATGTGCCACACGAACTGCCTGAGCACGAGCGGAATCGCGAGAATGAGCTTGAGCCATCACTCCCTTTGCAAAAGAAGAAGAACTTTTTTCAGGAAAGTGTTGTGATGCGCGACGAAAAGTGGATTCCCTGTGACAATCTGTGAAGATAATCTCACTGACGGGACGTGAAGAAGTCTTACGAATTCGTCTGACGAGCATGTGGCCAAAGAAAGTGAGTGTCGATGCGCATATGATCCTACCATATATTTGATTGATTATGCCCGGTGTGTATGTGTCCGTGTGTGTGCGCGTGTGGTGTGTCTGTCTGTTTGTCACGAAATTCATAGCACCTAAAGAAGAACTTGGAGGGGTCGGGTCATGGTGGGGATGGGTAGGGCATGGGACAAAATGTAAATAGCACCGTGACCCATGGTAAGCCCCGCCCACAGTGGGCGGGCGTGCGCCGAAAGTTAGCGATGTCACTGAAAAAAAAGCCATATTGGCTAGAAAGCAGCTCGGAGACGGGAGAAAATGTGGAATAAGGTTGGCATTGGGTTGGCAGAGCAAGCGGAGGAGACACACCTGAAATGGGCGGGGCGTACTTGAATGGGCGGCGCTTTACACAAAGGTCGGTAACTCGGTTCCCGAAAAAGCTTAGAGATTGCAGAAGAGTTCATGGCGAAGATGAACATCTGAGAGTACACTATGACTGAGACTAAATTGAACAAAGAGGCTCGCCCTTAATGGGCGGGGCCTACCTGTAAACACGAGGTACCAATTCAACCCATTCGCGACCAGGCGCGTTTTTCGAAAACGGCTCGTTCGGACCGGAGCATTTGCGAGCTCTCAGCAAGTGTCCGCCACCAGTGGTGGACACGGTCCCTCGTGACCCCTTACTAAAAATTTTAGCACTGTTCAACTTTCTGC